GTCTACTTTAATGTTACACTAAAAGAAACTTACTTGGGTTTCAAATGGAAGTTTTTAGTACGCCTTAAGCTCTCTTTTTCCACACTTTTGAATTTGTACTCAAAATGTTTCCTGAACTCCAGCTTTGGAACTGCTTTCGGCACCCAGCAGGAAGGGAATTAATTCTCATCTCTCGACTCACACAAGAAGGCTGTATTTTACTTTCTTCTAAAACTGGTCTCTGTGAATGCATTCCTATGTGTGTCTGTGTGTGCATGAGAGAGAGACAGACAGAGAGAGAGAGAGAGAGAGAGAGAGAGAGAGAGAGAGAGCTCTCCCTCTCTCACTTCAAATTCTAATGCAGTCCAGAAGTTTTCTAAAGGTCACATCCAATTTAAAGGTTCTAAAATTAACCAACTTTTAGAAACCTGGAGTCTGGCGCTCCTTAGCATTAGCCTTTTCTCCTTCAGTCCTTCCTCTTCATTTTGAGAACATTTCTTTCCTTCTTCCCTTTAAAGAAAGTGATGTGTCCATTTGGCAGTCTAGCCTGCTCTATAGCTAAGGTTCTACCTAGGTTATGTTTTGAACAATAAGTAATAAAATAGGCCATTAAAAAATCAGACAAAATAAAAATATGCATGTACAAAAAAGTAAAAATATGCATGTACAAAAAAGTAAAAATATGCATGTACAAAAAAGTAAGTCTTAAACTTTAAATCAGGTCACAAAACACACAAATGCACACACAGACACACACACAATGAAAACAATTTGACGAGAAATGCCTCCAAACATTTATCAGGAATATCTGGCAAGCTTGGGCTTGGGGAAACCCAATGACAGTGCTATTCTCCATCAACACACTCAGTCTTTATAAACTTGGGACATTTAAAACTATACAAAAAAGGCACTTGTTGCACTCATTTATCCAGCTTGGAAAGCCTATCAGAGAGAAAAAAGTATCTTCAGCTCTTTTCCTGAAAGTGGAGATAGTGGGCACCTTGACAGGAATGCTTTCCCACAGAATAGGGGCAGCCAGCCCACACTAAACAATGACTATAAATAGAAGGGAAGACTGCAACTAGATGTGCCTGTTAAGTTTGCTATTCAGGTGACATCTGTTGGTAGGAAGATTCAAGACACTTCTAGCCTTTCCTTATCAGGGTTCTTTAACTTCAGACCAATGTTGGACCAGAAGACTTCTTCAAATAGAAGACTTGTGAAGTATGGTATGTGGCCAGCCTGTGAATGACCAAGGAAAGCTGAAATTTTGCATGATGGAAATTCCTCTCCCTGTTTGTATCTTTAGACATGCTGAGCATCACTGCTTTATTCTTGCCTAGGTTCTGTTTTCAGTTGGCTCAACTCCACCTACTGTCAAAATCCAACCAATCATAAGTAAGCAATAAGGCTGCAAGGATCCCAGGATGAAACCTCACAGTGAATCATGATGTTTCTCTTTTGTTTTAACTGCCCAAATCAAACACCACTTGAAAAAGGAGGCATAACAGCACACCTTAAACAGACTCCTTAAACAACACAGTGTTTTGTCTCTTTGGCCTCTATAATATGAAGAAGATGTTAATAATACAGAAGGCCAGGATAACCCATTTTTCATCTAAGAAGTTGGTTGTTTTATACCCGTTCTGAAAGCTTCCACAAGTATTTAGTGAGTCCAGTGACTCAATATACTCTTCACATTCTACAAAAACCCTAAGGGCAGAAATGCAGGTGCTGTTTAGTTTCTTTTTTCCCTGAGTGTGTTCTTGGATTAGTAAAGGAGTGGCCAGTGGTTTCAAACTGAGGAGAGGTCAGGTGGTGGTGGTGGTGAAATTAGCCATTTAACTTTTTGCTTTCTATCTGTTCACTTGAAATATGTGGGCATGCACACACAGAGAGACACTTTTCTTTCTGAAAAATAAAACAGTACAGGTCTCCATAGTTCCATGTCTTGTGCAGCCCATCAAACTTTAGGTTCTTTGCTTATTCTGATTCAGAAACCACACAAAGCCACTTCACCCAATAAGAGAAAGCATTAGATATATGTTGTTCTGAAGCAAGAGTCTTCTAGCTTCCTTCTGAAAATAACATCCTAATTATCATAAATTATCAACCTCCTTCCTCCAATACTTCTTGTATTAGGAAGAACAGCTTTCACATATAGCAGAGGTTTTCAACCTTTTTGAATCCATGTCTGCCTTGACCAACTACATTATTTCTGTGGCACCCCTGTGGGGTTCAGGAGCCCAGTTATGTCACCCCTTGCCTGCAGAGCTGGCAGCCTCTCATCCTTTTTCCGACACCCTTCCTTGTGGAGTGTTCCCTCAGCCTCCTCTCTTCTCCCCTCTCCTTGGGAGTCCTCTGGGCAGCCACTGCTGCCACTCCTGATCTCTGAGCTCCCCCCACACCCACTTCAAAAAGAGGTGCCTCCTCACACTGCCCCACAGGGGCCTGGGACTTGTCTGTCCATTCCCAGCAGCAAGGGCTGGTGGACTGACTGGCTAGGCTCCCTCACCCATTTGCTTGTTTACTCCAAGGCTGCCTCAGCTCCTGGCAACCAGCACCCCCTGGCCAGCCCCAGAGGCACCACTTGTAGGCAGGGCTGCTGCAACAAACAGCTGTACAAGCCTTGGGGAGGCTGAGATGCAAGACAGCATCAGGGGGAGGAAAGAGGTGGGCAAGCCAGTGCTGCCCACAACACCCACCCCTAACCACCATTCAAGGCACCCCAGGGTGCCATGGCACACTGGCTGAAAACCACTGGCATATAGGGTTGCTAGCTGACTAGGCTATCATTAGCCACAATGCCTTCTCCCTTTTTCCAATTAAATCACTAGATCAGCCTTTGTAAACCTGTGCTTTCCAGGTGTTTTGGCGCACAACTCCCATCAGTCCAGTCACCATGTGCTGGGTAGGGCTGATGGGCATTGTATTTCCAAGGCAACCAAGATCCCTGAAATGCCTTGCTATCGCTCGGCAGAGATTGGGGTGGCCTGTAGCAATATAGACACCTAACTGAAGTATGTGACACAAATACATTTTGCAATATCTGTATAATCAGCTTCCTCTATAGAAAAGACTCACAGCTGCATCTTCAGCCAGATAGCACAGCTATTGCCCTGCATCCCTACCCTCATTATAATTCCCATGTACTGAGAATATGGAAAGAGAGAGAAGGTTACTCGTTTTTATAGAGCACTGTATCTTTTTGGCAGCAACAAAACCATTTGCACATATTATTGAAATTAGGAAATTAGATCTTAACCTCTAATGTGTTTTTAAACATAGCTAGCATGCAAGTAACCAGCTGGACTGGCTGCAGATCCAAAACAGTGTGGAATAAAAAATGTTTTTAAATCCTTAATTATACCAAGTGTAAAGACTGATCTTTATGGAAAGGGCAGGCAATACGCAGCCTCTCGTTGCCCTAGGACACTTCTGTGCATCTCATGAAGGTCAGTCTCATCCTGGGAAGTCATAGCTATCTTCTTTTTAAGTAAGAAATAAAGCAAGCAAGGCTCTAGATCTTGTGAATGTGAGAAAATATTCAATTTAATGGTCATAACACTGAAGACAATAAAACAATCAAGGGTGGGTGGGACAGTGTCCAAATCAGCTTTGTTTGTCATCTTTCATAATTTGGGCAATCAGGATCTCTTAAAGACACATTCATGTTTTTCACATTATGAAAATTATATCACTAGTGCCACATGCTGGAGGAACTGGACATGGAGGAAGCGACTAATTTCCTTGATGAGCACAGATCACCCCATGTATGAGATAAGCCAACAGGCGCAAGGTCAGCCAAGCCAATTGCTATGGTCACAGCCCAGTGCTGACTATATAAGTGATTAAGGCACATCAGCTCAGTGCCAGGGTCTTGTGCTGTGTGTCAGGGTCAGTCAGTGAGTCTTGCAAAGTGAGTCAAAGTCTGTGTTACATTTAAATTGCTGAAGCAACAGAAATACTTTCTACTTGTATATATCTGCATCTGTATCTGTATCTGTATCTGCAAAACCTACAAGCTGTATGTATATACCAACGTCCAGAACTGTATTACTGAAGCCTAATCTTCTGCAGCAATAAACAATTTTAGACATGAAGCTGCATCTGTGTGGTGACTGGAACAGGAGGCAACTTCCATTGTATGTTTATCTCACCTCAGTTTCCCAGCACCGCATCCCTGCCAACTGCATTTTGGGGTCTGCAAACTCATCCTCCTCAATATTACATGCGAATGTTATGCAAATCTTAAATCATGCCGCAACCACCCCATCCCCAGAACTCCATAGTTTCTCTAACATGGGGTGACTCTCCTGTGGATATGCAGATGTTTGTGGACTTCAACTCCCAGAGAGCCAGTGTGGTGTAGTGGTTAAGAGCGGTGGACTCGTAATCTGGGGAACCGGGTTCGATTCCCCGCTCCTCCACATGCAGCTGCTGGGTGACTTTGGGCCAGTCACACTTCTTTGAAGTTTCTCAGCCCCACTCACCTCACAGAGTGTTTGTTGTGGAGGAGGAAGGGAAAGGAGAATGTTAGCCGCTTTGAGACTCCTTAAAGGGAGTGAAAGGCGGGATATCAAATCCAAACTCTTCTTCTTCTTCTTCTTCCCACAGCACGGCCAATGGTCAGGATGATGGGTGTTATAGCCACAGGTTAGCTACCTCTCTCTGACATGTGCGAAGAGCTTGTATGGGAGACAGCATTGCCATTCACTGAAATGGAGGAGGCTGCTCTACACATCCCTCTCTTAAGATGAGTGGTGTCATTTAAGGGAGGGAAGTTGGGGGGTTGGTTTCAAACTACATGTGGTCACGTTTCAGATGGGCCTGTCCATGTGGCAGTCTCTACATTCTACATACTTGGCATCTGAAAGTTGCACCCCTACTTAATCTGAACCTCCCACCCCAATTTTGGAGGCATGGTTGCAGTGTGTTACAGGGATCCATTTCATAGAATCATAGAATTGGAAGAGACCTTGAGAGTCATCTAGTCCAACCCCTGCAATGCAGGAATCTTTTGCCCAACCTGGGGCTTCAGCCCATGACCCTGAGATTAAGATTCTCATCATGCTCTACCAACTGAGCTATTTAGATCCCACATCTCCAATCCTAACAAAACTGCATCTCTTTCCAGCATCTTTTTTTTTTTTTTTGCAGTGAATTAACTACCCAGACAGATTATAGTAGTTAATTCACCACTTATTTTCTCCTTCTCTTCCTCACTCACTTTAAAATCACCTTCGAATGCTCCTGGTGTTACTTGCCTTAGGCTGTTGTGACCTCATTGGCTTTTATGCCTCTGAATACCAGTGGTTGGAAGCTGTAGGTGGGCAGAGTGTTGTTGCATTCATGTGTGACTCGCTGGCTTCCCAAACGAATCTGGTTGGCCACTGTGAGAACAGTATGCTGGACTAGATGATAGGCCACTGGCCTGATCTAAGAGGCTTGTCTCACCCCATCAGTCTTCCCTGTGATGTGTTTGATAGGATAAGGAAAACAGAGGATGGAAGAGAAACTCTTGCAATCTCTCGCTTAAAGGTACAAATCCATATATTGCACAACAGAGACCTCACAGCTAATTCCCACTTTCCCTAGTGATACATCAGGAAGCTTGTGGGAGACCTTGCTCAACAGCTGTTAAATGAGGGGAGGCAGCTGCTCATTGATGCCTCCGACCCTCGCCTGGAACATGGACTCTTCAATTTAGAAGTCAAGTTCTAGTAGCAGGTTGGGGAGCACCATTTGCACTTACGACTTCAGTGCACACCACAAGTGAGCAACCTGCTTCCGAACATTTGTCCCTTAACGCCGTTCTTTTATTACTATGTCTCATCTGAGGAACTCCAAGCCCTTTATTAACAAACATCAATTTAGCCTTACAACTGCTTTGTGAGATCAGCAAATGTTAACTCCATTTCTCTTGACAATAGGAACACATAACTGATGTAAATATTAAAACAAAACAACGCCTACCAGGCACACAAAACAGTACATTGCATATCACATTTTCCTGGTGGATGGAACAAATAGGTTTGGAGGAAGTTTTGCTGCAAATCTTAGTGCACTCCAGTGATGGAATGATAATCCATGGGAGAAACTGATAAAACTAGGAACATGCTGCATAAACATATCCCAGAATTCATTGAAAATAACACTGGGTTATAATTCTAAAGGGGTATAATTAACAAAAGCACCAGCTCCTTGTCCTTGCGTTTAAAATGGCTGTATGCCATTAGCTTCTTGTTTTCCTGTAAAAAAATATACCTATGAAGCTCACTCCCCTGCCTCTGTTGTTTAAGCAGTTCCCCACCTTTGAAACATCTCCAGTTTTGCCCAAACCAAAACATGCTATGCTCTCACTTCTGTTCACTTCTGTGACATGGCTGCTTTTCTGCCATTGAATGCCAAAGTCTCCATCAGCAAAAAAAATATGCATTCAGGTCCAGCAGGAGAGACACAGACATGACATAGTGTCATTCATTTTGATCCATAATGGCTGCTCTACTGTGTGCATAAGACATGCCATAACTGCTGGGGATGACATATGTAGGCCTAGCAGTGTCCAGATTAATAACACCGCTGTGAAATTCCCTTTCAAAACTGGCTCAAGTTAACTTTGAACATGGATTTTACCATTGCCAATCGCAAAGGAGGGAAAAGGGAGCGGGGAATGAAATCTCATGCTGGTTATATACCTCCAGTATCAAAGGCAGCATGCCTCTGGGTCCCAGTTATTGGACATCATGAGTGGGAGACAATGCTCATGTCCTCCTTGTGGACTGCAGTGATGGCTACCAGATGAGATGACTTTAAAGGAAATTTGACCAATTTATGTAGGATAAGGCTATCAATGATTCCAAGCTATGCTGGCCAAATCCCATTTTGTACCAGAAGCCAGGCATCTCTAAATAACAGGTACTGAGTGGGAGAGTGTTGTACACTCATGTTGTGATTGTGGACTTCCCACAGGCATCTAGTTGGCTACTGTGGGAATAGGATGCTGGACATGACAAGCCTGTGGTCTGATCCAGCAGGGCTCTTCTTATGTTCTCAAGAGTGCACACATATGGAAGAATTTATTGGTCCAGCACGTTCAGAAATATATTTCTCTTTGGGGGGGCTTAAAAAACACAGCATTGTACTCTACAGTACTGTGTAACCATTTGATTGCAGAGCATATATACATTTTTGTGCACCCTTGCAATTTTATCTCCCCACCCCATGACCAAAAATGCTTGCATGCATGTTAGAATTGATGACTTCAATTCTTCCAGTTCTAAAATTCTATGATTGACTAATTAATTGTTCCAGGTGGATCAAGAGGTGATTTTTTTACCCTGGGAAAACAGAACACTAGACTAGACGGACCCCAGCAAAGCAATTTTTAGATGCCCCTTCCAGCAAGACTATCCTGTCTATACCTATAATGTTAAATACAGGATATTGTGCAGTTGTTAGTGGAAAGTCACTAGCTGGAGTATAACACCTCCTTTTAGCACTGGCTAAAATGTGCTGGTGGCACTCTTGATGTGTTTGTACAGAAATGTCCTTAGGTGAAATTGTTTTCTTTCCCTAACCTCTGGTTGAAGAAGCGAATGAGTGACTCTCATTATATACTTCCACACTTTGTATCATCAGCCGCTGGAAAAAGTATTAAAGGTTAGCTACTTGTTTCTTGGCTTGTGTGCATGAAACATGTAAGCATGCTTTAAGGTGACATTGAGCCTTCAACAGAAAGAATTATTGGTGTGAGAAGTTCCATTTTCAACACTCCTCCCTGTTTCTTTATCTGTATACAGACAAGAGTGGTGGGTGTGGGTGTGGATTCCTTTCCAGTTATATTATTTCTGATGTGGTGCCAATCCAGCAGTGGTCTTAGTGTAGCAATTCCGGACTTGAATCCTGAAGTTGGGTGCCCACCTTCCACTCATTAATGTGGATGTCTAAATTGGGGGTATGTTCCTCTATAGGAACGTAGAATGTTGGTCCACCTATCACAGTATTGTTTGTGGTAACTGCCAGTGCACCTCCAGGGCTCCAGGCAGGTGTCTCTCCCAACCCTACCTGGAGATGCTGGGGATTGAACCTGGGACTTTCTGCATACAAGGCAGGTGCTCTACCACTGGGCTATGGCCCATTGTGATGGCAGAGGTACCCCTCCACCTACTGCAGTTTCCGGCAACTGGTATTCAGAAGCATGCTGCCTCCAAATTTATGCTTAGACACTACTGGGCATTTTTGGAACCAAGTATTCTATGTTCCTTCATCTCCTTTGGCAAAGCAATTTTTTAGCATGTAAATTGGACTGATTCCCATTCATCTCAGAGTACTGCTAGTCAATTGGCAACTGTCTTCCCTGTCCTGTGACCTCGGCATCTTTTAAATGGATATGATGGGGGACAGAATGGGGGTGGGGGGCTTTGATATGCAAAGCATGAGCTCTAAATGTAGCACGGAGCTACAGTTCCTCCACCGATGCCTCATTTTCGTTTTCAACATGCAAGGCAGCCATCCTGGCACCGGCATAAAATTAATTTTGCTCAATGGATTCCTTGTCATGCATGCGCACAAAGCTTCATTTGCGTCCAATTTGAATTTTTGTTTTCCTCTGGTGACTCATTTTGGTGCATCTGTGTTTATGCTATAACCTGTGGATAAGGCATGTTTTCCTAGCTGTGAGCTGGCTGAGCTTCTGCTGATAGCTGCCATGTGCTGGATTATTCTTGCATATAACTCTGCTTAGGCTTCCATATCATACTTAGTAACAGAAATCCCACATTTCGCCCCTAAACTGCCCCTTCAGAAACACCCCCAGGGCCAATCCTACTGTTAAACAGAATGATGTAGCTGTCTTAGGTGGCAGGCGCTGGCTGGCAGACAGCAACGGTGAGGTGTTGGAGACCAGAGCTCTGTGTGCTGTGCAGCTGGCTCTACAACTCCTTACATTAGTCTCCTGTCCTCAGGCATGGTGGAAGATGCTGCCCAGTCATCAAGGCTGAAGTCAGATTCCATTACCAGTCTAGGTGAAAAACTATCTGGTTGGTGGAGTTCATTAGGGCAAGTGAGGTACTGCCCTACTAAGCTCAGTCTGCCACCAGCCAGCCCCCTGCCTTCTTGCATGCAGTAGTCTAGGGGATGCATTGCCTGTTAGCTTCTGAGTCTCAGTGTTGTTCTTGTAGAACTCAGCAGGGAGGATGATGGTTGGTCAGTGTGCAAATAGGATGCAGGACTGGATGGACCACTGGCTGGAACCAGTAGGCTCTTCTTACGTTAGGTGGGTTGATGAAAGGCTAACACAAGCAGCAACAGAGCAGTCTGCATATGCAAGGCAAGATTACCTTGAAAAAGCTGAGAGTTTTGAGTGCTTTCCCCTCCCCCCCACACACACTAGAGAATCTTCCTATGTGTTAACTTCCAATTACTTGTAATGCTGAAATGAAATTTCACACACACATTTGAAATTGAGGGTGGAATGGGGAGAGATCACATTCAGTAATGAATGTTTCACTCTGGAAATTCAATTTTAAGGCTACAGTCACATATATCCATTTACCTGCCCACTGAACTCAATGTGGCTCACATCTGAATAGACATGTATGTGATTGGTTTTTGTTTGTTTTTGTTTTAAACTTTATATAAAAAGAAAAGAGATGCTGAGACTGTAATTCAATGTGCACGTAAGCGAGGTGATTTTAATTGAATTCAAAAGAACCTATTTCAAGTAAATATTTCACTGGATCATGTTGAAGCATTATAAAGTATCAGACTACCAATTTCAATATTTTTACATATCTTTTTCTAAAATGTCTAAATCCAGCAGCAGCAATAATTTACCCTGGGGGAGGTGTAAATTGCTGAGCACTCTGTACAACATTAAGAAGTTTCAAAACAAAACATAACACAGATCATTGCAGGATTCCTTACCCATAGGCTTCACTTGAGCAACAAGACTTGGTAATCTGGAGAATTTGGGAGAATTCTGCGAGTGTCCTGAATCTTAAGCTTTCAAGAGCTGAAATGGATGGTAGGTAGCAGTCGTTAAGAACAGGATTGCCCTTTAATGTGTGAAATCCCACACAGCAGATGGGCTCTGCTAATGAATTTTAATTGCTCCACAGGAGTCTCTTATTGTGCCACTCTTGGGGCTCAGTCTTCTCTTTAGAGAACCATTTCTCTAATGGTTTCATGCAACTATTATTATGTCAGTAAGTCAACCCTTAGAATCTTTTCTGGGTTTGTTGTTTTCCTTTCTTGAATTGCTCTTACGAATGCTGCCAAGCTTTTGCTTTGCCATAACTAGAATAGTTGGTGCAATCCTTAATGTTTGCAAGTCAAAATATTGTTACCTTATGCTACCCTGCATTTTTGCAGAACAAAAAGGAACATTTTGGAAGATCTCTATGTTTTGGGGAGACCCACTAAGGCAACTCTTTTGCAATCATGAAAGGAAGTTCTAAGTAATCATGTAATTTCTTCAAACAGTCTCAAAGTTGTTGCTGATCAATATCTATGAATTATCAGCTGGGTGACCCATCTATATCAAGTGTGAGATCGTATGAGTTAATCCAATGATAATGAACATTTAGGACATCGTCAAAAACCCCCACAAACCCTCCAAAGCTTTGTTTTGTTTACTGAATAAGAAAACCTTTTGAAAATAATCAATAACCCCCTATTGCTACCACCTGCAGATTTGCCTCTGCTTGAATTATATTTGGACAACTTATTGTGAGTTTCCTTCACAGAAGGTTTTGAAGCAGGGGGCGGGGGGAGAGATAACATTTTTTGAGAATTCTAAATGGGTTCATATTATTTTGGAACATGCACATTCTCACAATGTGCAAACCATAGTGCAGGAGTTGGTAGATGTGTGCACAGCTGTGTGTTGCCTAAACAATTGTGTAAGATTCCTGCTTGTCATGTGTTATGACATTCTGGTGCCTGATTGGTTGCTAAAACATAAAAGAGGAGGAGGCCTCAGCAGCTCTGTTGACATTGGAAGCAGCAGCAACCAGGATGTTGGCCACAGTCTCACTCATCACGTGATAGGCATCTGCTGCCGTGGACCAGATACCTGTTGCATCCATCAGGCAAGGCCTCTTACACCTGCCGTGTCCTGGGACTCCTCATAAGGGAGCTGGTATTGGAGGAAGAATTGTGAGGGGAGAGACTTTGTCAGGCAAGGCCTCCTTCCACCTGCCTCACCCCACCCTCTTGTCTCTGCTTATCAATCTGTATTGTATTATTTTATGTAGTGTGGCTTGCCATTGTTTTATTGATTATAGTTTAGAAATTATTTATTGTAACTGTTGAGTAGATTTCTGTTTAACTTTTATATGTTATTATTATTATTATTATTATTATTATTATTATTATTATTAACTATTCTAATGATGGTTGAATGTTACTTTTTTGATGCCTATTTTAAAGTTATGTTTTATTATCACATTTTTGTATTGCATTATATTGTTATAAGATGTACATTTTTTGTTTCTTCAGCTTGTAAACTGCCTTGAGTATTGTAAGCTAGAAAGATGGTATACAAATTAAAAATGATGATGAAATGCTGATAATGCTTTATTAACCTTATATTTAATCCTTTATCTTCCAAAGGCATTCTTCTTTCGCATATACTTTCTTTTTGAACTATATTTTAAGTCACCCTGAAAGTACTGCTAAGTCTCCATGAGACTCTTTTATGCAAGATGATGAGGAAATGAGATTAACAACAAAGAACTACAACATTGCCATTTGCCCTTTATTTTCTTACCTCTCCAGTCTGTTTTAATTCTAATATTACTATATGATAGCCACTGTCTGGAATTGCTCCTACACACACACACACACACACACACACACACACACACCTCAAAACAGGGAGTCCACCACAATCCAAACAGTCTAAAACTACCTCAAAAGTTCAAAAAAACTTGTTCCATGTCTGCACTGATATTGCATCATGCTTTCTTCTCTCTCTGTACCTTCTCTTTCTTATTTCCCCTCTGTCATTCCCCTCTTTTCTTATAATTTTAAAACTCCATTAAAATTGTATGTAAAAAAATAAAAGAAATAATTACACAGTATCATGAAAGGTATGGGTCAGGAAAGCCATATGAGCCTATATGGTACCCTAGAAGATAATTAAGTACACATTTGAAGTCAGCATGTTGTCAAAAATGAATAGGGAAATGTATATGTGAGCCAAGTTCAGGCAAAAACATAGACACTTTTTAAATTTATTTTCTCCCCTCTCCCTCTCTCTTCTTCTTCCCTCCTTTTTTTCTTTTCTCTTTTTTGGCCTGGAGGAAAGAGCACATTAAAATATTATAATTTGTTAAATGTAATGAATGAGTAGCTAAAGTGAGTCCTGAGTGTTTTGAAAGAGGATCTTTTATGCCCTTCTGAAATATGTTTGGAGCTATTTTAGTCTAATCCAAACTGACTTGGAAAGGTTGTGGGGCTTTTACTCATGTTCTCGAAAAGATCTCATTTCCATTTTCTGAAAACATGACTACAGTGTATTTTTCATCAAAAACTCCGCACCTGTGCAGGCAATCCAAAGCCAAATTTGAATCTTTTGAGACTTCCAAGTTATGCCTGACCCACCAATCTATCAGATGGCTTCTATTCAGGAGGCTCCCATCCCTTCTTTGTGGAAGAAGCTGTATTAACTTAACAGATGTTTTAGACACACTAATGATAATAACGCTTTGTAATGATGATGTTTCTTCCACCCGCCAAATGACAATGCATCTCGCAGTTGGATATCATTTTATATCACCCCAAAGAAGTTAAGAATGCTAACCTTTTGTATTCCAACTCTAGAATGGATCAATTTTTAATATGACACTTGAGACTGTTCCCAAGTATTGCATACTTTCTTTGTGAGCTTTGCTTTCTGGAAATTCACACTGGATTGCCCAGCAAGTACCCCAGTCAAAACCTGCTCGTTTTCCAGGAAGCTAAGCAAGCAGGTTTTCAAAAGGTTTTGACCTAATACAGACCTTACTGACTGGCAAGTAGTTTTGTTTTCATTGCAGAAACTTTGCTCTGGGAGCAATTAATGTTGGACATATATTGTGTTTGTGGTATGAAATGATACCAACTGATATTTGGCTTAAACTGACCCTCTGTGG